GTATCTGTATCTGTATCTGTATCTGTATCTGCATCTGTATCTGTATCTGTATCTGTATCTGTATCTCTATCTGTGGTATTTTAATTTCCCTTAGCTCTTCCTTTATTTCCACCCGCCACCATTTTTTATTGATCAATGAATTCGGCAGCCTAACAAGCCCTCTTCACTTCCCCCACCACTGCCACGCCTGCCAGCTGCATTATTGACATAGAAAAAAATACGAATCCAAATGTGAATCCGGAACTCTGAGCCAAATATAGCTCAAGTCTTTGAGTAGCTCTCATGGACGTAGCTCTCTGTGACAATGCAATCAATTAGCATACAATTAAAAAATGCTTAAACAAGGAAATCAACAGCAGCAGATGCACAGCAGACTCAGTCCATGTATCTGTAGAAGATGTATCTGTGGCAGTAGCTGGGGATCTATCTGCATCTGTGCCTCTACAGATGCGTCGTAAGTGGTCGCAGATCAAAGCGACGACGACAACATAATTGCTCGTTCACTTCACAGTTTTCTGATGACTTCGACATGGCCACAGCAAACACTTAATGCTCCATATACATTTATTTCAGCTGCACTGTGAGAAAAACTAAGCTACATTCTGTTACGTGTGCTGCAAGTATATTTGCTTGCAACTGTTTGAAATCCACTCATTTGCTACCCAAATTTCTTGCAGTGCAGCTACTAAATTTGTATCTTGCATTGTTATAAATTGTATCTTTTATGTTGTTGCGGCTTGTTGCGACTGCTCTGGTGGCCCTGCTCTCCCTGCTGGCCCTGGTGGCGCCACAAGCTCCTTTAACCGCTGACTGCAATGCTGCTAATTGAGTTTTAAGTAGTTTTGCAGCATCCACTTGAGCGCAGCGGAAGTTTAAGGTCCTGCTGCATTTCCTGCTGCCGCTTGCCCTTGACTAGACCAGCCATCTCTCTCCTCCTCCCTCTCTCTCTCTCTTCTTCTCTTGATCTGTGTGTGTTTGCCTGAACAAAGTCAAACTCTAATCCACAAATATTTTCAACTCTTTGGCACTAAATCGCTGCCTCTAATCACTTCCACGAAATGCATAATTGTGCCATTGCTTTTGATACGCTAACCGAAAGAGAGAGAGAGAGAGAGCGAGAGAGAGAGAGAGCGCGGGACCTGTATCCTTGGCCAAGTCTTTTTCACTGCCCGCAGCCAAGTGCCAAATCCTGGCAGAGACAATGCCAATAGAATGAACGACAAGTAGCTGCGAATTATCAATCCTATCATGCTTTTATGGCCAGCCCAACTCTTCCACAGTTCAGCGAATTTTTGCATTTGCATACCCAGCAGCGGGTCGACCCGGTTCGGCTACCCCTTTTTGGGCGGGTTGTGCGCGCCGCGCTGATAATCCTTCTAAATGTTTGCATTAATTTCGAGGCGTAAACGGATTAGGGCGTCGGTGCTGGGCGTTACCCGCAGCCAGCAAAACCACCGAGGACACCGACTGACCGACTCGCTGACTCGCTGGCTGACTGACCTGCACCGGCAGCAGCAGCCACGCCTCCTGCTGCTGCTGAGGCTGCTGCTCCTGCAGGAGTTTTAATCCTTTCGCATTTGCGCTGACTTCTGCACTAAATCTGCGCCTAAGCCGCTCAACCCGGGCGAACGGGTTGCGCCTGCGACTAACGGGATTAACTCCGATTACTCCAGATGATCCGCAGAAGTCAATCGGCTACAGCAACAGCAACAGCAGCAGCCGCCGTCGCCTAATTGCAGCAGCTAAAGTAAATTTGTGAAATCCCCGATGCAAATCCAAGTTTCAAGTTTATCATCCGTTCGACTCTCTGTTTATTTGTTTGTTTTCGTTTGTTTTGAGAATTTCTGGCAATTAAGTTGGCGATTTGCTGCGCCTATTTCTGTAGCTCAGGGCGTGGCGCAAGTCGGGGGCGTGTGCAATATACCTGTTAGCCAGCAGCAACAACAAGCAGCAGCAGCAGCAGCAGCAGATCTAACAAAGTTGACTTTCCACTCAAGGTCGAGTTGAATCCATTTTTTAAGCAGAACTCACTGTTTTTTTTAGCATTTGACAACAGCTAATACTGCAGATTATGCGAGGATTATGCGTTGATTGCGCGCAATTATCGTGTGCTGCTCCTGCAGTGCCAGCAAAAGGCGGAAGGCAAAAGGCGAGAGGCGAGAGGCCTTTACGATTCACGCTAAATCCTTTGAGCAATCCTTGCGTAAAATTTCATAACCCTACACAACTCTTAGCCAAAAGGGATATTCGTGGAAGTTCGCACATCCTTCCACATCCTTTTTACCTCTTGCCAATCCGTTGGCTAAAAAACAGCCAACAATTTCCGCATAAATTCTCAGGTAAAATGCGAAAAAAAATAACAAACAAACAAACAAACACGCAAATGTTTCGCAATAAACACGCAATGCTTATATAACGGGTTCTTATGATATATAACTGGTAAAAGAAGAAACTAAAGAGGAAAAGTTGAAGCTAAGCCATTTTGTTAGTGTATTTTCCAAGTTTTTCACTGTGCTAAAAATTGACGTTAATTGCAATTGCAATCGCTGGCAATTATAAACGGCGCAGATGTGGCTGCAACAACAGCAGCGGCAACAGCAGCGGGTGGTGGCTGAGCGTGGGTGATAAATGTGCGTGATTTGGAATGAATGTGCATCGATTAAAACCGCAAGGCAATCAATTTGCGCCTTTTAACCGATTCCGACGCCAAATTGGCCTCGTACACACAGCCAATTAATGTCAGAGCAGCAACAGCAACAGCAACAGCAACAACCCTCGGAGCAAAACAATTAACACAGGACAAAGGGCAACGGGGTCATGGGGGGGGGGGGGTATTTCCAGCATTTAGACACATTCCGCACGATAAACCCAGCAATAAAGTCAAGCCGAGGCGTTTAATTGCTGTTGTGCTCGTCAGTTGTCGGCTCTTCCTTTTTGATTAAACGCAACGCACGGCACCTGTAAAATGGCAAACGCCAGGCAATGGCTAACGGTAGTAACGGCATCATCGTTGTACGCATCATATACCGCAATGAATAAGTGCCTATAATTGGGACTTTTAGAGCTTATTTGCAACGGCGACGGCCATTTTAATATGCCAAGCACATACAACGGTAACGGCAAAAAGCTGCTTATGTACGCGAGAGAGCGTAATGTAATATGCTCTCACTCACTCGCTCTCTTTCGCTCGCTCTCCTGCGCCGACTCACACGAGCTGAGCGCTGATTGGCTGTGTGTGGTTATGGAGCCATTGCTCCATTTTGTTAGCGACACGCCCTACGTTGGCGTCGCCGTCGTCGTCAGCGTCGACGCCGCCGCTGTTGTTGTCTGTTGCTCGCTGGCGCTGCTAAGAGCTAATAAAGTGAAATGAAATAAAATGCTGCCATAATTGAAGTCGTTAATGCTAAAACCATGAATACTAAAAAGTTTTCTTTTACTGCAGCTCAGTTGCGGCTGTAATAACAGTAAACTGCACTGCTTCAATGACGGGTTTGATGCTCAAAGACAGCGTACTGAAACGGAAAAAGATATATCTGCTCAGCAGTAGAAATAATAATAACCTTAAGCTTATATACCTTCAACTTATAAATATATGAAAACCATTTTGCTGTTATAACCAGAATGTAACGTAAACACCTAGTTTCATGCTTACGTGAACCAAAAATAGCGTAAGGTTGTTTCCAATTTTTAGTACACATATATGTTTCATACCACCAAACTTTCGCACCTCATGCAACTTTCCTTGCCACTACTTTCAATAATAGTAGCAGTACGGCAGCACAAAATATTGCCACTCATTTTATAGCACAAAGTGTGACCGTCGTAAAATTGCAGAGTCGCACATTGCTAAGTTATCGATAGACAATTGTTAACAGTGCTCTTTGAGGACAACAGTGCACCAACATTCGGCTAACATCAGCATTTACGTTAACATACATATTCGGGAAAAAACATTGGAACGGGTTGGACGCGGATAGCACACTTCTGCATTTTTCTGCGAAAAAATTCAATCAAAGCGGAAAAATAAGCGGTATTTACAGGGAAAAATCGTTTTGCGATTATAGTAGAGATTTCTTTGTATCACGCGACAATTGTTTGTTTTCGTTGCATCGCGAGGCAAAGCAACGCCAACGAGAAGAAAAAAAATCAGAAATAAAGTGCGCTAAAAAAAGTGAAATCTAATGCTAAAAGTCAATTTCTTATAGCCGAAAACGTGATTCACAAAATAACCATCAGGGCAATTAATTTTATGTGACGAATTGTTTTAAATAAAAAATGGGAACGAAAGTGCAACAAAACGACAACGCTGCCGCCGCCGACGTCGCAGCAGCGCCAACGGCAGAAGCGGCCGCCACCCACAGCAACGCCAACGCCAACGCCACAACAACAAGAACAACAGCAACGATAAAAGCAGAGCCCGAGGCAGAAGCAGCAGCAACGGCAACAGCTACATCAGGCGCAACAACACCAACGCATATAATGGAGGTAAAGTCACAAACGCTGCCCACACATGCAGCAGCGCCGACGCCAGTGCTAATCATTCCTGCCGCCCAGGCTTCCACGATGGCCACAAATGCCGCCAAAAAGATACGGCGCGCCTTCTCCATGCCACGCAATCCGTTTCGCTGGTCGCGCAAATTCAAGACGATCGGAACGACAGCCGGCAGCGGCACCGGAGTCGCTGACAGCGACGGTAACGTCGGCAGCGTTGCCAGCAGCACGGGAATTTCATCCTGTGTGAGCGGCGGCCGGGGACGTAGCGGCAGCATTGTAACTCTCAGCAGCTACGAGGCGACTGCCTCTGAAGCGCCCATTGGCAAGGACAAGCATACAATTGGCTCAAATAGGGCGGCGACCATTGCAGTCGGCAACAGTAGTAGCAGCGGCAACAACAACAGCAGCAATAATAACAACAGCGGCAGCAACAACAACAAGCGTGCACGTGCGATGCGTCGGTCGTCCTTCAGGAAATTTCTGAATCGTATCGCTCAGCACTTGAGCGCAACGGTGAATGTTGGGGTAAGCACTAGAAATATAACTGTAAATTTAAACAGACAGGCACACACACATGCATTTGTAATTATATGCATATGCATGCAATATTGCTAGAGTGGAACTGATTTCGATGCGTGACACGAACGAACCGCTCACGAAATTTGCTATCGCATTAGACAAGTCCCACGGGCGCCCATCTCTAGGATGCACTACTGTCAACTACTTCTTTGTAGAAATGTGTGTACATATTTTCGCTTTCTTTGTTCAACAGCAGCCGCTAACTCCCCTTTGATAAGCAGCGCATTCCCAGTGCTTATTGCCGAGTGCCGAGTGCTGAGTGCTGCTGTTCATATGTGTGTGTGTGCGTGTATTTATAAAAACATCGTTTGGTGTTGGCGTTATCGTTGCCTTTGTTTTGCTCAGCATTGCCGCAGTCGCCGCCTCTGCCGCCGTCGCAGTCGCAGTCGCAGCCGCTGCCGTCGCCGTCTTTGTCTTTTGCGCTTGCACTTTGCTGCCTTCTTTACTTTTGTGCAATACATTCAAAGTTTTACAGTATTTGACACACATACTTAAATAAAAATTAATGGATGTACAAATGCAAGCATGCATACATACACATGTGTGTCCTGCATTGCGTGCCAATTGTTCTTGTTGTGTGTTGCTGCCACCCACTGGGCGCGCCATACGCTGGCCAAATCGGCGTTTGCCACGTTTCCATGTTTCGTTTGGGCTGTTGTTTTTTTTGTTGAGCCGCCGTCTGCTGAGTCACACTGAAATGCGTGTTGATAACAGAGACAACGGCAATCGGCGTGTTGCTTTCCCTCACCGTACGCCTGGAGTCTAATAAAACTTATGTTTTTTTTTTTTTTTTTTTTTTTTTAAAAATTTTTTTATTTTTTT